AGTTACTGCCCTTGTGTCCAGGTAAGAGGAGAACCACTGCTGTTACTGCCCTTGTGTCCAGGTAAGAGGAGAACCACTGCTGTTACTGCCCTTGTGTCCAGGTAAGAGATGAACCACTGCTGTTACTGCCCTTGTGTCCAGGTAAGAGGAGAACCACTGCTGTTACTGCCCTTGTGTCCAGGTAAGAGGAGAACCACTGCTGTTACTGCCCTTGTGTCCAGGTAAGAGGAGAACCACTGCTGTTACTGCCCTTGTGTCCAGGTAAGAGGAGAACCACTGCTGTTACTGCCCTTGTGTCCAGGTAAGAGGAGAACCACTACCATTAATGCCATTGTGTCCAGGTGAGAGAAGAACGCTTACCAGTACTGCCAGTGTGTGCACTACCCTTACTGATAGCGAGACAAGGTAACAGTAGTGCCACCACCATCACTGTGAGTGTGCCAGGTAACATTAGTGCCACTACCTCATTGAGAGTGTGCCAGGTAACAATAGTGCCACTACCTCACTGTGAGTGTGCCAGATAACAGTAGTGCCACTACTTCACTGTGAGTGTGCCAGATAACAGTAGTGCCACTACCTCACTGTGAGTGTGCCAGATAACAGTAGTGCCACTACCTCACTGTGAGTGTGCCAGATAACAGTAGTGCCACTACCTCACTGTGAGTGTGCCAGGTAACAGTAGTGCCACTACCTCACTGTGAGTGTGCCAGATAACAGTAGTGCCACTACCTCACTGTGAGTGTGCCAGGTAACAGTAGTGCCACTACTTCACTGTGAGTGTGCCAGGTAACAGTGCCACCACCTCAATGAGAGTGTGCCAGGTAACAGTAGTGCCACTACCTCACTGTGAGTGTGCCAGGTAACAGTAGTGCCACTACTTCACTGTGAGTGTGCCAGGTAACAGTAGTGCCACTACCTCACTGTGAGTGTGCCAGGTAACAGTAGTGCCATTACCATTCCTCTGAGTGTGTCAAGTGAGAATAGTACCACTTCCACTACTGTGAGTGTGCCAGGTAACAGTAGTGCCACCACCATTACTGTGAGTGTGATAGCTAATAGTGGTGCCACTACCATTAGTGTGAGTGTGCAGGTTACAGTAGTGCCACTACCATTACTGTGAGTGTGCCAGATAACAGAAGTGTCACTACCATTACTGTGAGTGGGCCAGGTAACAGCAGTGCCACCACCATTACTGTGAGTGTGCAGGTAACAGTAGTGCCACTACCATTACTGTGAGCGTGCCAGGTAATAGTGCCACCACCATTACTGTGAGTGTGCCAGGTAACAGTAGCGCCACCACCATTACTGTGAGTGTGCCAGATAACAGAAGTGTCACTACCATTACTGTGAGTGGGCCAGGTAACAGTAGTGCCACCAACATTTCTGTGAGTGTGCCAGGTAACACTAGTGTCAATACCATTACTGTGAGTATGCCAGGTAACAGTAGTGCCATTACCATTACTGTGAGTGTGCCAGGTAACAGTAGTGCCACCACTATTACTGAATGACCACTAAGACACTCATAAAAGCACTGAATGACCACTAAGACACTCATAAAAGCACTGAATGTCCTCAAAGACACTCATACAAGCACTGAATGACCACTAAGACACTCATAAAAGCACTGATTGACCACTAAGATACTCATACAAGCACTGAATGACAACTAAGACACTCATACAAGCACTGAATGACCACTAAGACACTCATACAAGCACTGAATGACCACTAAGACACTCATAAAAGCACTGAATGACCACTAAGACACTCATAAAAGCACTGAATGACCACTAAGACACTCATAAAAGCACTGAATGTCCTCTAAGACACTCATACAAGCACTGAATGACCACTGAGACACTCATAAAAGCACTGATTGACCACTAAGATACTCATACAAGCACTGAATGACAACTAAGACACTCATACAAGCACTGAATGACCACTAAGACACTCATACAAGCACTGAATGACCACTAAGACACTCATACAAGCACTGAATGACCACTAAGACACTCATACAAGCACTGAATGTCCACTAAGACACTCATACAAGCACTGAATGTCCACTAAGACACTCATACAAGCACTGAATGACCATTAAGACACTCATACAAGCACTGAATGACCACTAAGACACTCATACAAGCAGTGAATGTCCACTAAGACACTCATACAAGCAACTGAATGACCACTTAAGACACTCATACAAGCACTGAATGTCCACTAAGACACTCATACAAGCACTGAATGTCCACTAAGACACTCATACAAGCACTGAATGTCCACTAAGACACTCATACAAACACTGAATGACCACTAAGACACTCATACAAGCACTGAATGACCACTAAGACACTCATACAAGCACTGAATGACCACTAAGATACTCATACAAGCACTGAATGTCCACTAAGACATACAAGCACTGAATGACCACTAAGACACTCATACAAGCACCGAATGTCCACTACGACACTTATACAAGGCGCTCCCTTTACAGGTGACGGAAAAGAATAACAGCGGCTAAAAGAGGCCAATATATCTGAAATGCTTAGGGAGTCACTGGTCAGAGAAATAGCAAACATCGAACTTAAGCTAAAGGAATCTTATAGGAGTCAGGAATCGCGGGAAGAACTAAAAGTTATAAATGAAATCGAAAGAATCACAAAGTATTTCTTTTCTTATGCCAAATCAAAGTCGAGAACATCCAGTATTGGGAACCTACTTAAGATGGGTCCTACACAGATGACAACAAGGAAACGAGTGAGCTACTCAAGTCCCAATATGACTCAGTTTTTAGCAAGCCGCTAACCAGACTGAGAGTCGAAGATCTAAATTAATTTTTTATGAGAGAGCCACAGAATTTAGTAAACACCAGCCTATCTGATGTTATCCTTCCGCCAAATGACTTCGAACAGGCGATAAATGACATGCCCATGCACTCTGCCCCAGGGCCAGACTCATCGAACTCCTTGTTCATCAAGAACTGCAAGAAGCCCCTATCAACGTGCTGTTAACGTCCTAGGGAGAGGGAGCATGGACAAGGGGGTCGTTCCACAGTTGCTAGAAACAACAGACATAGCCCCACTCCACAAAGGGGGCAGTAAAGCAATAGCAAAGAACTACAGACCGATACCACTAACATCCCATATCATAAAAATCTTTAAAGGGTCCTAAGAAGCAAGATCACCACCCATCTAGATACCCATCAATTACACAACCCTGGGTAGCATGGGTTTAGAGCAGGTTGTGTCTTGTCTGTCCCAACTACTGGATCACAACGACAAGGTCCTAGGTGCACTAGAAGACAAAAAGAATGCAGATGTAATATATACAGACTTTGCAAAAGCCTTCGACAAGTGTTACCATGGCGTAATAGCGCACAAAATGCGTGCTAAAGGAATAACAGGAAAAGTTGGTAGATGGATCTATAATTTCCTCACAAACAGAACACAAATAGTAGTAGTCAACAGTAAAGTCTGAGGCGGCTACGGTGAAAAGCTCTATTCCACAAGGCACAGTACTCGCTCCCATCTTGTTCCTCATCCTCATATCTGACATAGACAAGGATGTCAGCCACAGCACCGTGTCTTCCTTTGCAGATGACACCCGAATCTGCATGACAGTGTCTTCCATTGCAGACACTGCAAGGCTCCAGGCGGACATCAACCAAATATTTCAATGGGCTGCAGAAAACAATACGATGAGAAATTTCAATTACTCCAATATGGTAAGCATGAGGAAATTAAAACTTCATCAGAGTACAAAACAAATTCTAGCCACAAAATAGAGCGAAAAACCAACTTCAAAGACCTGGGAGTGATCATGTCGGAGGATCTCACCTTCAAGGACCATAACATTGTATCAATCGCATCTGCTAGAAAAATGACAGGATGGATAATGAGAACCTTCAAAACTAGGGAGGCCAAGCCCATGATGACACTCTTCAGGTCGCTTGTTCTATCTAGGCTGGAATATTGCTGCACACTAACAGCACCTTTCAAGGCAGGTGAAATTGCTGACCTAGAAAATGTACAGAGAACCTTCACGGCGCGCATAACAGAGATAAAACACCTCAATTACTGGGAGTGCTTGAATTTCCTGAACCTGTACTCCCTGGAACGCAGGAGGGAGAGATACATGATTATATACACCTGGAAAATCCTAGAGGGACTAGTACCGAACTTGCACACGAAAATCACTCACTACGAAAGCAAAAGACTTGGCAGACGATGCAACATCCCCCCATTGAAAAGCAGGGGTGTCACTAGCACGTTAAGAGACAATACAATAAGTGTCAGGGGCCCAAGACTGTTCAACTGCCTCCCAGCATACATAAGGGGGACTACCAATAGACCCCTGGCTGTCTTCAAGCAGGCACTGGACCAGCCGGGCTGAGGCTCGTACGTTGGATTGCGTGCAGCCTGCAGTAACAGTCTGGTTGATCAGGCTCTGATCCACCAGGAGGCCTGGTCATAGACCTGGCCGCAAGGGCGTTGACCCCCGGAACTCTCTCCAGGTAAACTCCAGGTAAATGAATGACCTCTAAGACACTCATACAAGCATTGAATGACCACACCTGCACATGTATATATAATAGTATAGAACACACCTGCCATGTATATATTACCGTAAAGAACACACCTGCCATGTAACCATAGAACACACCTGTCATGTATATATAACAGTATAGAACACACCTTCCATTTATATATAACAGTAAAGAACACGCCTGCCATGTATATATAAAAGTAAAGAACACACCTGCCATGTATATATAACAGTAAAGAACACACCTGCCATGTATATATAACAGTAAAGAACACACCTGCCATGTATATATAACAATAAAGAACACACCTGCCATGTATATATAACAGTATAGAACACACCTGCCATGTATATATAACAGTAAAGAACACACCTGCCATGTATATATAACAATAGAAACACCAAAACACACATCTGCCATGTATATATAACAGTATAGAACACACCTGCCATGTATATATAACAGTATAGAACACACCTGCCATGTATATATTTGCATAAGTAGAAAACTTGTCTTCAAGAAATTTGGGAACCTTAGTATAAAACTTGAGATTATATAACCAAAACCACTGTGAGTAGTCGAGTACAGTTGCTCTCTCAGGAAGCATCGACATGGTGGCCATCAACACGTCCGCCTCCTGAGGACATGATTCATGTTACAATTATAGCAGGAACTAGACCTCAGTCACATCACAGGTGCTGAATCTGAATTATTTTGATCTCCATTTACCGTAAACTGTTATTTAAATGCATTATATATGTTAAGTAGTCATATATTGACACCTGTATCGTCCCGGACTTCTTCATCAACAAGGGACAACAACGGGGCAGCGTATATATGAGTGTTTAGAGGGATTTATGGAACGGATTTGGTGATTTATGTAATAGCAGAGTAAATCTCAGTAGGACATGAGTACTGTGAAGTCTGTAGAGTGGAGGAAGAATTTTTTTTTGAGTAAGAAATGTGATTTTTTAATGGCGAGGGGAATTTATTTAAGAGAATTTCCTAATAGGGAGAAGCAATTTCCATAGTGAAGATTAAATTTCTGAAGGGTCGAGGTCAGGGTGTTTTCCAAATGGGGAGAGTTGATGAGTAGATGGAGTACAGTAGATGGGGAGGGGGGGTGATATTCATAGGGTAAGGAGTGATTTTAGAAGGATGAAGGGTGATTCAGCAGGCACGGGATATTTTTTTTTTCAGTATGGGTTAAGGACGCTTTTTCAGTGACTAGGATTTGTTTACAAAAAGAATCTTGCATGTACTCACCTGACTATACTCACCTAATTGTGGTTGCTGGGGTCGAGACTCAGCTCCTGGCCCCGCATCTTCACTGATTGCTACTAGGTCCTCTCTCTCTCTGCTCCATGAGCTTTATCATACCTCGTCTTAAAACTATGTATGGTTCCTGCCTCCACTACATCACTTGCTAGGCTATTCCACTTCGTGACTAATCTATGACTGAAGAAGTACTTCCTAACATCCCTTTGAGTCATCTGGGTCTTGAACTTCCAACTGTCACCCCTTGTTTCTGTGTCCCCTCTCTGGAACATCCTGTCTCTGTCCACCGTGTCTATTCCACGCAGTATTTTGTATGTCGTTGTCATATCTTCCCTGACCCTCCTGTCCTCCAGTGTCGTCACGACAATTTCCCTTAACCTTTCTTCATAGGACATTCCCCCTAGCTCTGAAACTAACCTTGTCGCAAACCTTTGCACTTTCTCTAATTTCTTTACGTGCTTGATCAAGTGTGGGTTCCAAACTGGTGCTGCATATTCTAATATGGGCCTGACGTACGAACGATTCCTTACTAAGGTATCGGAACGCTATTCTCAGGTTTGCTAGGCGCCCATATGCTGCAGCAGTTATCTGGTTGATGTGTGCTTCCAGAGACGTGCTCGGTGTTATACTCACCCCAAGATCTTTCTCCTTGAGCGAGGTTTGCAGTCTTTGGCCACCTAACCAACACTCCGTCTGCGGTCTTCTTTGCCCTTCCCCGATCTTCATGACTTTGCATTTGGCGGGATTAAATTCGAGAAGCCATATACTTGGAATAGCACTGGTCCTAGGACCGACCCCTGTGGGACCCCGCTCGTCACAGGCGCCCACTGTGATACCTCATCACGTACCATGACTCGCTGTTGCCCCCCTGTCAGGTATTCTCTGATCCATTGCAGTGCCCTTCCTGATCGGTTTGTCCCAGTGGGACTGTTTGTGCTCTTTAGGAGGAGCTGGTCTACTGGAGGAGTCTGCAAGGGTGTCCCACGGCACGGCTGCTTCAATGAACCTGGGGTCTTGAGCTGCTACCGCACCTCTCAAGCGTTCCATGACAATCTCCTTGACTAGCCCACTCGAAGCCAAACACGAAGACAGAAATGCAAGCAAAGCTACCTGCGTTGCTTTGCACACTCTTATACCTCCCAGTCGCCCTGGGTGGGTTGCCTGATCCCATTGCTGATTTTCCAGTGAAAGATTCAGTGCCTTCTTAAAGATTGATCTCAGGAGTGAGTCATATTTGTTGAGTGGGTTGTCAAAAAAGGGTAGAATTCTGGCCTGCCGTAGTTTGGCAAATGATTCAAAACCACTTGTTTCGTGGTTTCATTGCTATATAAACTGCTTGTGGAGACGGGTATCAAACAGGAGGAGGCTGAAATTATAAATATATATATATATATATATATTATAATATTAAATATATATATATATATAAATAATATAATATATATATATGTATGTATATAGTATAAATATTGATGATTTGTGTTATCACTGAGAGTTAAAAAAGGTAAAGATGTGCTTGAAATATTTGAAGACAACACATCTTAAAATCAGTTTATGTGTATTAGTTGGGAAATTAACACGGTTAAAACAGTAAAAACATCATAAAGGATAACTGTTAACTTATTATCCTAACATAAAACAGCATAATATTTTGTTTTAATTTACTGATAAAATAAGCTTACCCTGCGCTGTAACGTGCCTATTGCTCCGCCATATGACCCATTAGACATCTTATCAACACGGCTACTAATCTCGTTTAACTGGATCGTAAAGTTGAGTTTCTTCATAATCGTGGTTAACATTTCTCCCAGTAATTCTTGCAGCACTAAAGACTCTCCTTTTCTTACTAAAATTATCTCGATGGTATTCTGTAAATAAATAAGCAGTTGATATTTCACGGAGAGTTCCCCAAAGTATTTGAATGAATGTAAAAACAGAAGACATGTCTGTAGTAACGGGATGAAAGAGAAGCATCACGCAAAATATATTTTCCCCAGTAACTTGTACTTCAACATACACATGATTCGCGTTAGCCACTGGACCATCCAACTAGCTAATTTTGGATGAATCTTATTGTAGGTAGCTGGTCCAGTGGCTAACACGACGGTCTGCAGTTTTGTGACTCTAGTACATGATGCCTAGTAGCAGAACCTCAAGTCTCCCATAAGAACACGAGCAGCAGTTCAACGCTATCAGGTAACCTAGGAACTGTATTTAGAGGAGACAGGTGACCATCATCAGTCTAATACTTTAGACTAACATTTAAAGGACTAGCATCATAGTTTAAGCACCTCAAAACGCAGTCGAGGGGAACTCAATAAAATACTTTATTTTTTTTAGATAAATGGCTTTTTAAATGTAATGTGATTTACTTCTGTACATAATGTGGAGGAAACGAGACCAAAAAAAAAAAAAAAATACTTTAAGGGCGATTAGTTTGGCTGCAATATCATGGCAACTAGCTGAATAATCACCAGTTATAATAACCAATTATAATCACCAATTATAATCACCAATTATTCACATATGGCGGAGGATCTGATAGGTGGCTAGAGAAAAGTACTCTCAAAAGTATAACGAAATGTCTGAATTATGATAAATTTTCTGAATCTGTTGATGCATGAAGTGTAAAATTTGTATGTTTTAATTAAATAACTTGGGAGAATAGCAGATAAAACTGTTGAATTATTGGTTAATTTCCATTCACAGTTATAGCAGCATCATCCAGCATCTCACCGGCATGTTGATGAGCAGTTCTTATGTCATAAAACCAGTTACTCAAAATAATTGCGCTGTATAGCCCTTGTGGCTTAGCGCTTCTTTTTGATTATAATAATAATCAAAATAATTGCTTATACAGATAGAGCAATAACGCTCTGCTCTGCTTACTGCAGGAAACAATCTGTGAGAGAAGGTATATATTGTTAGGAATACCTCACAAACATTAAAAATCAGGAACGTGACGGTAAGCTGCCCAATATACAAAAAGAGTTAGAAACAGAAATACAAATAGCTAGAGCTTCATTTAAGGTTATTAATATAATATTCAAGAGGTTGCTAGTAGAATTGCAGTAAATCAACCATTCAAATCATTATGAAGCTGTGTGTAGTCTGTGGTCAGTCAAACAAACGGCTTCCACATGGATAAATTGTCATTTTTGTGGAAATTGGTGTCACGCTCCTTGTGCAGATATCCCAAACTAGCAACAAGCAGTTTTTAAAAAACAGAGAAGTGTTTTTGGGTATGCCCAAATGAGGAAAACTGTGACTAAAATCACAAGGGTATTAAAGAGGATAACATCAAAGCTGCTTTCATAGAAAACCTGGAAGCTTTCTACAACAGATGGAACATAAAAAGTCTGGCTGAATGGTACTGCCCTTGATACTGGCCATGTAGTCACAAACTGTAAGGCTGGAGGTGATGTCCTGGTAGTCAGTAAATGTGGGGCTGATAGTGCTGTCCTGGGAGACAGTAATGGTGAAGCTGGAGGTGCTGTCCTGGAGACAGAAATGGTGAAGCTGGAGATACTGTCCTGGGAGACAGTAATGGTGAAGCTGGAGATTTTGTCCAGGTAAGTCGGGAATTATACGAGGAAGGAATACTATAAATGACCTCATAGAGGACAGGAGCCATAGTAGGAAACAAGTGTAGTCAAAGATAAGATAAAACCATATTGCAAACTAGAAATAACCGCAGAAATAGCAAACAAGAGGAACTCAATAGCAATAGTGAGGATAAATTACCAAAACAACTGTGGGAGCTCCATTGTTGTGCTAGGGAGGATAGGAATAAGAACAGGGAAACATGCACCAACAGGGAATACAGTCACAGAAACCCAAGGCAAACGGAAACCAAGCCTGTGCACATACTATGCACTGGTATCTGCTGGCATGGAAATCTGAAAAACAGATGGACCATGCACTATGACCACCCTAGAAAATGTCATGCCATATGACAACAGGAAAATGCAAACTCCCTTCCTGTAAGCTTTTCACCCTGAAATGTTTACCTCTCAGTACAGGAAAGACTGTGCTATAACTTAAATTGCCAGGCATACCATCTAAAGGGGACAAAAAGATACAAAAAAATCCAGGCCATGGAAACCTGGGTAGCCCGGCCACTCAAGAGGGAGAGGTTTTTTTTGTGCCAGGAAGGAAAAAAAACTGGCAGGAAATGGCAGAAATCGTACACCAAATCCAGTCATTCCTGGAGTGGAACCACCCGTCGATGGCCTCCACCCAAACCAACAGATACAGATACTAATGCCGGAAAAAAAATCCCCCCCCAGTACCAACAATACCACCAGTCCGATAACATTCTTCTTGCAAATATACAGGGGCTAAAGCCGCAACAAACAACAAAATACCTTTCATCCGTGGAAATGCTTGCAGAGGCAAAGGCAATGTTTTGCAGCTTTCACTGAGACCCACAAAAGGATCCACTTGGACAACGAATATGGATCCCAGGTTACAACCCCATACAGATGTGACAGAGTGAAAAAGGCAAAGGGGGGGGTTTGGCCTGTACATTGCAGAGTCACTTTTTGCACAGAACTGCTTAAGCCTCAAATGACGTAGTGGAAGTTTTAGCAGTAAAGGTCGAGAACCAAAACCTAGTCATTGTGGTAGTCTACAAGCCTCCGGATGCAACATCCCAGCAATTCCAGGAACAGCTGTTAAAAATTGACCACTGTCTGGAAAATCTTCCAGCTCCTGCACCCAACATCTTGCTCCTGGGGGATTTCAAATTAAGGCAACCTAAAATGGAGGAATATAGCAAATAATATTGTTGCAGTAATAACACCAGGAGGCAGCTCTGATGAAAACTCACACTCAAAACGGCTTTAAATCTCTGCACAAATTCAATTTAAACCAGCAAAAAATAGAGCCTACTAGACTGGAGAATACAAATAGACTCATCTTCACTAACAATGATGATCTGATAAGAAATGTCACCATATCAAAAACAATATACTCAGATCACAACATAAATTGAGGTCCGACATGTATGCGTGGAGCCCCAAAACCGACAAAATGAGACTAGGTTTACAGGGAGCATTCACCAAATCAACTTCAATAACAAAAACATAAAGTGGGGCCAAGTAAACCAAGTCCTAACCGATATAAGCGGAAGATATACTAAGCAACACAGACCCAAACTTATGCCTAGAACAGATTAACTCGGTGGCACTCGATGTATACACAAGGCTTATTCCTCTAAGAAAAAGGAGTAGTGTGAAAAAAAGAAAGAGACAGGCCTCCCTTTACAGGCGACGGAAAAGAATAACAGAGCGGCTAAAAGAGGTCAATATATCTGAAATGCGCAGGGGGACACTGGGCAGGGGAAATAGCAAGCATCGAACTTAAGCTAAAAGAATCCTTAAAGGGAAGTCAGGAATCGCGGGAAGAACTAAAAGCCATAAATGAAATCGAAAGAAACCCAAAGTATTTCTTCTCCTATGCCAAATCAAAATCGAGAACAACGTCCAGTATTGGGCCCCTACTTAAACAGGATGGTGCTACACAGATGACAGCAAGGAAATGATGAGCTACTCAAGTCCATATGACTCAGTTTTTTGCAAGCCGCTAACCAGACTGAGAGTCGAAGACAAATGAATTTTTTATGAGAGAGCCACAAAATTTGATTAACACAAGCCTATCCGATGTTATCCTGACGCCAAATGACTTCGAACAGGCGATAAATGACATGCCCATGCACTCTGCCCAGGGCCAACTCATGGGAAACCCGTGTTCATCAAAAACTGCAAGAAGCCCCTATCACGAGCCTTTTCCTCCTATGGAGAGGGAGCATGGACACGGGGTCGTCCCTCAGTTACTAAAAACAACAGACATAGCCCCCCTCCACAAAGGGGCAAGTAAAGCAACAGCAAAGAACTACAGACCAATAGCACTAACATCCCCCCTATCATAAAAAAACTTTGAAAGGGTCCTAAGAAGCAAGATCACCACCCATCTAGAAACCCATCAGTTTCACAACCCAGGGCAAAAATGGGTTTAGAACAGTCGCTCCTGTCTGTCTCACTACTGGATCATTACGACAAGGTCCTAAATGCACTAGAAGACAAAAGAATGCAGATGTAATATATACAACTTTGCCAAAAGCCTTCGACAAGTGTGACCATGGGGTAATAGCGCACAAAATGCGCGCTAAAGGAATAACAGGAAAAGTCGGTCGATGGATCTATAATTTCCTCACTAACAGAACACAGAGAGTAGTCGTCAACAGAGTAAAGTCCGAGGCAGCTACGGTGAAAGCTCTGTTCCACAAGGCACAGTACTAGCTCCATCTTGTTCCTCATCCCATATCCGACATAGACAAAGGGTGTCAGCCACAGCACCGTGTCTTCCTTTGCAGATGACACCCGAATCTGCATGACAGTGTTCCATTTCAGACACTGCAAGGCTCCAGGCGGACATCAACCAAATCTTTCAGTGGGCTGCAGAAAACAATATGAAGTTCAACGATGAGAATTTCAATTACTCAGATATGGTAAACATGAGGAAATTAATCTTCATCAAGTACAAAACAAATTCTGGCCACAAAATAGAGCGAAACACCAACGTCAAAGACCTGGAGTGATTATGTCGGAGGATCCAACTTCAAAGGGCCATAACATTGTATCAATCGCATCTGCTAGAAAAATGACAGGATGGAAATGAGAACCTTCAAAACTAGGAGGCCCCAAACCCATGATGACACTCTTCAGGTCACTTTTCTATCTAGGCTGGAATAATTGCTGGGACTCAACAGCACCTTTCAAGGCAGGTGAAATTGCCGACCTAGAAAATGTACAGAGAACTTTCACGGCGCGCATAACGGGGAATAAAACACCTCAATTTCTGGGAGCGCTTGAGGTTTCTAAACCTGTATCCCTGGAACGCAGGAGGAGAGATACATGATTTATACACCTGGAAAATCCTAGAGGGACTATACCGAACTTGCACACGAAAATCACTCACTACGAAAGCAAAAAGACTTGGCAGACGATTTCACCATCCCCCCAATGAAAAGCAGGGGTGTCACTAGCACGTTAAGAGACCAACAATAAGTGTCAGGGGCCCGAGACTGTTCAACTGCCTCCCAGCACACATAAGGAGGGGATTACCAACAGACCCCTGCCAGTCTTCAAGCTGGCACTGGACAAGCACCTAAAGTCAGTTCCTGATCAGCCGGGCTGTGGCTCGTACGTTGGTTTGCGTGCAGCCAGCAGCAACAGCCTGGTTGATCAGGCGCTGATCCACCAGGAGGCCTGGTCACAGACCGGGCCGCGGGGGCGTTGACCCCCGAAACTCTCTCCAGGTAAACTCCAGGTAAACATGGCCACAAGAAGTGAATTATTAAGTATCCTCGTAGAGAGACCTTTAAGGGACACGTCAGTTACCCAGTCTTCTAATTACGTTATTTTCCCTTATAATTGAGGACAAGTGTGTTGCAGAGGTCTGAGTTAAGCTATACCATGAATTAAGGAAAGATCCTGGAGTTTACCTCACGAAACAGAACAAATACGATAGTAATTATGGTCGAGGTAGATTATAGTGGAAAATAAACATGATATTAGACAGGGGGAAATCTGGCTTCTCGTAAGATGTTGCTTGAATGTTCTTATGTTAAATTTTATTCCTTCGACTTCTTATTTTTTATTTATTCAAACTCGAGATGGATTCGTCCAGTCAGCTTCAAAATTTCAACCTTTGTTCAGGGCACTGGGGACAGAATCTTGGGACAACTAGCAAGGTCCCATGACCAAAGTTTGTTGATCCCATGACCCAAAATCCAGCACTGGCTTGGAAAACCTTCGAGACCTTCAGTGGAATAAACTCAAACATTGCAACATTACATTTGCAAAATATTTTCGAGATTTTGATTCCCGTTTAAAATCATGTTAAATAAATTCCCGTTTTCCCCTTCTGCAAAATTTCGATATTTAATGACTGAAGTATTTTACGGACAGGAAATAACAATTAAGTTTAGTTTGAATGAAAGCAAATTTACTGATGCAATAAAATAGAAATTTGTAATTGTCTGAACCCATAACACACCTGGAGAAAGATTCATCTGATCGGCTTCACTTCATTATCACTATGTGGGTACCTGAACCCAAGAGTCGTACTGCTGTACATGTCTGGTACACAGTACCCAAAATGTGTAACATCTGGTATCCTTATTTTTAGATATCTCGCCATCCAGAGGCTTTATCAATACAGAAAATTAATTTGAAGAATGTAAAACTATATACAAAATATTAGTAATCAGTCCCCCAGTCTTGGCTGAGGGACTGATTATCTCAGTAACTAGAGAATGTTTCTTTCGATCGGCTTCAGACTATTAATGCTGATGTATTCTGTAATATAAATGATACCCCATAAGTTTACCCTGAGTAAGTATACATATAAAATTTTTCTGAAATTCTTAGAAATTTCAAATCTTTGGACAGAGATCAATGACTGGAGAATGTTGTTTTAGATCGGCTTATTATTATTATTATTAAATATTAGCCGGTATTCTCCCGGCCCGGGCCTTTTCCAAGTGGTGGCCCGACCTTGGCTCCCTCTTTAGGGAGTGTCTGAGACCTAAGTCTCCCATGGGAGGAGGCACAAGTACCTCCTCATCTTTGGGACCAACTGTCCCCAGGCCTAGCCACAAGCTAGGCCTCTCTGGTCTGTCATACCCGCCCCAAGGGGGATAATGGGAACGACAGTCTTATGAGCTAAAAGCTCTGGCTCAGGCACCTACCCTACCCTAGAAGGGTTAGGCATGGTGCCGATGTTAGATCGGCTTCTTTTTTTTTTTTTTTTTTTTTTTTTTTATTCGCCGGTATTCTCCCGGCTCGGGTCTTTTCCAAGTAGTGGTGACCCGGCCTTGGCTCCCTATCTGGGGAGTGTCTCGAGACTTAAGTCTCCCATGGGAGGAGGTACAAGTTCCCCCTCATCTTTGGGACCAACTGTCCCCAGGCCTAACCACATTCCCTGCCCTCACGGGGCTCGTAGGGAGAAGCTAGGCCTCTGGTCTGCCATCTGCCCCGCCCCAAAGGGGCTCGTGGGGATGGCAGTCTTGTGAGCTGCAGGTGATAGCAAGCTCAGGCCTTTTTAGATCGGCTTCAAACTTCACCGTTTGTGATCTTTATTAAAAAAAAGTTTGGCGTTAACCTCTGTAAGTTTATATTTGCTAATTTTATTAAATAAATTTTAACAAATTAGATTTTCTTCAAAAACATCAAAATCAAATGTTTGTCTTCTTAGAATGGTAGAAATTTTGAAATAGAATTTAAATGGGAAAATCAAATTGATAAAAATATTAAAATTTGTGACTAATTTTCTTTTTAATTTAGCGAGGAGAGACTTTCTTATTTTGAGAATATATCTCAGTAAGATTCAGCTTTTCTTCCTCAAGATTTGCGTTTATGACTCGGGAACGCCTTATTCGATCAGCTTCAAACTTACAACATTTTAGCAATGTATCAATGGCTCATGGGTAAGTTAAGATTTTCTTCGGATTTTAACCCCGGAGGGTTAGCCACCCAGTATAACCCAAGAAAGTCAGTGAGTCATCGAGGACTGTGTCTTATTTCCATTGTGGTGCTCAATCTTGTCCCCCAGGATGCCACCCACACCAGTCGACTAACACCCAGGTACCTACTTGCTGCTAGGTGAACAGGACAACAGGTGTAAGGAAAGACGTCTAAATATTTCCACCCCACCGGGAATCGAACCCGGGCCCTGCTTGTGTGCAGCGAGAACATTCAATATTTCACCACTTGTACATATTCCTGGGTATGTAGCTGCTATACTGTCAGTTTTAATCTCGTAATATCATGGTATTATTTTATATTATTGCATTGTCTTGAGTTGATGCTGGTCAGGGGCTCTTGATTCAGTGAACTGGACATATTCTTCCCTTATTTGATTCGTATCTAAATGCATCACATTCCACTGGTACTCAATATGTCAGTTTTATTTGTTAAATTGATTTCTGTGAGGTAAATGGCGGATGTCTCCTCTGACCAGAAATAAATTGGATTTTTTTTTATTTTACTGGTTTATTTATTAAAACTTACATAATTCTTACACAAGTACTTAAATTTTATACGCAGGCAACTCTTACATATATAAAGATTTGGATTTATTTTGTCCTCTGTTGGTCTCATTTGTATTTAAGTTCCTTCATGGTAGTTGTTATAACTATCACCTGTTGAACTCTTCTTAAGAAGTTTCATGTAATCTTACAGTCCAGTGCACATCTGTTTCTCTCATCCAGTAACAGTAAATTTGTTTATATCTAAGAATTACCAGAACAAACCTTAAAGGATTTATTATGAAAGGATCAAAGAGACTTCCAGTGATTACAACAGACCAAAGTATTAGAGAGTTGTGTAGAAGTGATCAGGAAGGAGAGGCAAGTGGAGCACATTCTATATATTAAATACTGAGGTGACATATCTCAGAGAAGTTGATAACTCGTCCTGTAAGGTGATACCTACTTCATTAAGGCTACACCTCACTATACCTGAGTATACCTGGGGAGGGTTTTGGGGGTCATCGCCCCCGCGGCCCGGTCTGTGACTAGGCCTCATGATGGACCAGAGCCTAATCAACAAGGCTGTTACTGCTGGCTGCACGCAATCCAACGTACGAACCACAGCCCGGCTGGTCAGGTACTAACTTTGGGTGCCTGTCCAGTGCCTTCTTGAAGACAGCCAGGGGTCTATTGGCAATCCCCCTTATGTATGGTGGGAGGCAGGTAAACTAAGAGGTAACAGGCCTACTGGTCCACAATTTCTGTTGTTAAAAAAATAGTAAGCCTTTTCCAATTAAACTGTAAATTTTAAATAAGCCAAACTTCTAATTTTATTTAAATTATATCAGTCCAATAAAAAAGAAGAAAATTTGATATAATTTTAGAAGTCTGATTTATTTGCAATATTTTAATTAGTGAAATAAAGCAGTGTTTGTCAGAGCATCTCTCAAGACTAACCTTCATGTAAGCAATCTTTATCACACCTCCTTTAAGGGTAGATGGACGGGAGAGGAGTGGAGTTGAGTGAAGCAGTTGAGTGTGTTGCAGACAAGCAACAGTATGTAGGTTGTACCTGCCACCGTCAGTTAGTCTTGCCTCTCTCAACACTCCCGTACACTGACTTTTTCCGTCCAACACCTTTATACGGAAATTACAAATGAAAATCAGTTATATATCGAGAGGATACTATCTAGTGATCAGTAAACACAGTGCTGAACAATGTTGTAATTTACCTTGTCACGTTGATCCTCCAGGAGCAACACTCGTACTGCCAGTGGGATGCTGGGACACAAATCTCTCCCGAGGATATTGCCTCCCACTGGCGCCAGCATCAATGTGTCCAACTGAGAACATGATTAAGTATGTCTAGCAATTTGAATAAGTTGTGTTTATATAATATTTACTTATTTGTGTCGAGGATACAGAGGAAGGAAGTACAAAATAATGAATATATATCTTAGAAATGTGTAAGTAATGAAATATACAAAAAAAGCATCAGTTAGAAGGTGCTTTAATTTAGTTATTTTTAACCAAAATGTGAGGGAAAATGTTGATTATATTAGAAATATATCCTTAATATTGATTTAGTTCTCACTATATACATTTTATCAGTAAATATACATAAAATCACGTTAATTCTTACACTGCCAAACACTCCTCTAGAGAGAAGCTGAAAATACATAGAATTTTAAGCATTAATATTTTGTAGTTAATTAGTGAATCCAAGATTATTTTAATGTGAGAAAATTGAATCTCTTTCTAAATAATATTAAATGTTTATTTTCCTAGTTACATTCATGACTATATTCAGTTTTCAACGTTAAATTATATTATTATCAATTAAATTATATTATTAAATTATATTATATTATTAAATTATATTATTATCAAAGAAGTTAATAAGGAATACTCATTATGTTCCTCTGACTTTCTAAATTACATTTTGCTTTTGTAATTCAAATAATTAGTGGCATTTTCTCATGTTGCCTTGAATTTTTATTGCTCCTACATAAAATTTAATTTAATAGAATATATCTACGAAATTATCTTGATAAGTCGGCCTCTCAATGTGTCATCTTTATTGTGGAGATGAATCTTACTGTAGCCAGCGACTCTATATATTATACACAGGAAATAGAGCTCATTAAGATAAACCCATTTAAAGGGGGGGGGGAGAAATCTGTAATAACAAGGAAAACGGCCACAGTTATGTATTCAACATCATTCTGAGGCAAACTCTAGTTCAACCTTCAGAAGGAAATAAATGGTATAAAATACCGACACAATGGAAATATAAACACAAATGCAGTATAATGTGATCCTTTATTGACAACGTTTCGCCCACACAGTGGGCTTTTTCAAGTCACACACAGATCTACCTGGGGTTGGAAGGTACGGGAGTATTTATAGTCATGACTATAAATACTCTCGTACCTTCCACCCCAGGTAGATCTGTGTGTGACTTGAAAAAGCCCACTGTGTGGGCGAAACATTGTCAATAAAGGATCACATTATACTGCATTTGTGTTTATATTTCAACCTTCAGAAAAAGAAGAAAAAATAAGTCTTAATTCTTCGGTGTGGCACTATATTTAAGACAGTTTAATGCATTCGTATAAGAGCCAAATTTTAGACTGTGTACTATTGCCTCAACTAAAAACGCATCTAATGTGAACATTCCGTCGCTGATATTGTATAATAAATGCTTATCATGCTTAATAATTGTGAGGTTTTCGATATCAAACAGACCGTTTTCGGATCCTAAAGTGACAAAAACACATCGTTTTTTTATTTTGGTTCATAAAACATAGCTTCACAATGAAATATGTGGAATAAATTTTGCTGGATACTGACTTGTACAGCAGCAGTGCCAACCCAGTTTGCAGGTCCTACCACCAGGACAGCCATTGTGTGTCGTGGAAGTGGCTCCCGCCCATATAAGAATGTCCAGTCCACCCTTGACCACAGAGATGTCCGGTTATGGATGCTGGAACAATCCTTATCAGTGACAGGAGCCTGAAGGGTGTTGGAGGCAACTTGTGTCATATAGTGTGAGTCCAGGTGCACCTCAGTGCTCACACCAAGTGCCCACATACATCTCACAACACCATAAGTGTCTGCACGTATTTGTAAAAGAAATTTTTAGTTGCTTATATCGATACTGAAGTAATGCTTTGACCCTTAAAGAAAAATTATTAGTATATTTCTGTATTAGTAATGCTTAGATTCTTAGATTATTTAGTTATACAACAATATAAATAGTCATACACATTTTTGCATTTTACAGTAACAGTTACTTACCGAAGTCAGTTGTGGTAACCACAATAATGTTCTTGATGCCCAGAGACAGTGTAGTTTCAGTCACCAGACTGCACATTACGGAGTGTAAAATTAACACAGGTAAGGCCTTCATTCTGCCTCTGAGGACAGGTGTGTCGTCTGATACTTCCATCACTACCACCTTCCTCGCCAGTACCGAAAAATGACAGACCAAAAAAAAAATAGGTCTGCTAAATAAGTTGATATTTAAGATGTAATATAAATTTTTATTTTGTGTAATGATAACTACATTTAAGTGTATAAATGTACATCTATAAAAATTAATCATTACAAGATAAGTATCTAATTAAGTTTTACTAAAATTTTAAGCATATTACACCTAAAGTAAGTATGTTTATCGTGACACTAATTACTGGTTGATCAGACCCAGATCCACCATGAGGCCTGGTCTCAGACCCTCTCCAGGTAAACTCCAGGTAATCTCAATTACAGAAACGCACATTTTCGAAAAAGTATCCCCTCAAGGAAGGTTCCTTGATGTTTGGGGGCCCCTTTGTTTTGGGTTTGGGATCTGTCTCCAGTTCCCCTTTAAGTTTTGAAGTTAATCCCCCCCCCCCGGGGCCTTATATTCCCCCTTTGCCTTTTTGTTTAATTAAAATCAAAAAAATAGTTTTAAATTTTCTTCGTTTCAATTATCGAGATGTCACCGGTTCATTTCGAAGCCTTAAAGTTGGGGGTTTGTGATTTTCAGTCCCTCATGGGAGGGAACTGGTATACGAGGGTTCCGGGGGAAGCCCCGGGGTTGTACCGCCTATGGGGACAGGCCTGGAACCGGCTGTTTGTGGGGAACCCCGACTTAACAACCCCGGGGTTTCAGCACCGACTTTATCTTGGTTCGTGAGTTAAGACGCCATTTCTGTTTTTTAATCACCTTTTGGGGGGCATTAACAGCCCCTTTCCCCCGAACTTATTGTGTTGTTCTTTAACGTGCTAGTGCCCCCCCCTGCTTTCTTTGGGGGATTTTCATTCTGCCAGTCTTTTGTTTTGGAGAAAATTTTTGTGTGAATTTGGTACAATCCGCAGGGGGCCCAAATTATAATCAGTCCCCTTTTCCCCCGCCTGGTTTAGGGAGCGGGGTTGGAACTTAAACGTTTAGTAATGGAGGGTTTTTATCGAGTTACCACCGGGGAAGGTTTTGTCATTTTTTGACGAATTTCTCTTGTTTGAATCCTGTTATTTGGAAAATTTTCCAGTAGAGAGAACAAGGACCTAAAGTTCATATGGGTTCCCCTTAGTTTTGAATTTCATTAAAATTTATTTTTTGCAGATGCTAAATGAAAAATTTACTTTGAAGTTAATTTTAATGACCTCCCGGGTTTTTTAAACATTATTTCTTTTGCTCAGTGTGGTTGGTTTGTTTTATCTCCAATAGTTTTAATTTCCCACCTTTCATATCGGGGTTAAATTTTCTCATTGACCAATTTTTTTTCGACCCATTAAAGATTTTGGTTGCCTCCTAGTCTTGGGCGTGTTTCAGTGGAAACACTGCCCATCAAGGGGTGTATTGCAAAGGAAACAGGAGTTTGGTTACATCTCTTTTTCAAAAAGGAGGGGGGAAACAATACGAACTGGGCCTTGTGGAAACAGATTTTTCATGGGCCCCCTCAGTTTTCTTTTTGACTACAAAATCTGGCTGTTTGTAGGAATTTATGATCGTCACCAAATTTTCTTTTTATTCTTTACACGCTTTTGTGGTATTACACCATACACTTTTAAAGGTTTTAATTTTGTGTTGTTATTTCCCCCTTGTTTGTTTTTATGACCAAAACCTTTGTCATAGGGTCCAGGTGTGAATTTAATTTACCAAGCAAAAACAAGGTCGGTGGTTTGGTAAATGGAGTTTGTCTTTGACCCACTGCATTAACCTTTCCACAAACCCTTACAAACGCACCCAGCCAAAAAGGGTAAAACCCCAACTAGGACTTTTCCAAAGGCCCCAGGGGCCCCTTCAAGCCGGACAATCGGGCGGGTGTGTGGAACTACCAAAAAAAGGACTTTTAGGTAAAAGGGGAGAAAAGCTTTTTCGGGGAATTAACCATTTTTAATTAAATTTAAAACCAAAAATTTTTTTTTTTTTTTTTTTTTTTTTTTTTTTTTTTTTTTTTTAAATTACCAAAATTTTTATATTAAATCTATCCAGGTTAAAAAATTGTAGAAACCAACTTTTAAAAAAAACATTTGGGGAATAAGAAATTTTGGCTAGTGTTAAAAAATTGTTCTTTTAAAAAAAAATTTAAATTTCAAGAATTTAAAAAAAAGGCATTTTTGCCCGTAAAACTTAACATGGTAAAATATAAAAGGTGTTTGAAAAGTTGACACCTCCCTACGCATCATCAAGGCTCAGTGTTGTCAGTTGACCCCCCTAGCATATCAAGGTCGGTTTGTAATTGACCCCTCCCTTCGTCACATAAAGGGGTCAGTGTTGTCAGTTGACCACCCCTACGCATCATAAAGGTAGGTTTTGTAAGTTGACACCTCCTACTAACATAAAGGGTCGGGTGTTGTCAGTTGACCCCCTACTAGTCACATAAGGCTAGGTGTTGTCAGTTGACCCCTACTACGCATCTCGGCTCAGGTGTTGTCATTTGACCCCTAAAAAAAATTTCTCAAGGCTCGGTGTTGTCATTGACCCCTCCCTACAAACTAAAAGGTCGGTGTTGTCATTGACCCCTACCTACGACATCATAAAGGGCTCAGGTGTTGTCAGGACCCCTACCACGACATCATCAAGGCCGGGTTTTTGTCAGTGACCCCCTACCTACGACACATCAAGGCTCGGGGTTTTGTCATTTGACCCCTCCTAGACATCATAAAAGGTCGGTGTTGTCGTTGACCACCTCCCTACGAATCATAAAGGCTAGGTTTTGTCAGTTACACCTACTAAGAATCATAAAGGCTCAGGGTTTCATGCCCACTCCCTACGCATCATAAAGGGGTCAGGTGTGTCAGTTGACCCCTCCTACGCACACAAGGCTCAGGTGTTGTCAGTTGCCGCCTCCTACGCTCATCAAGGTCAGGTTTTGTAGTTGACCGCCTCTAGAATCTAAAGGCTCGGGTGTTGCCCTGACCCCCTCCCTACGACCATCAAGGCTCGGGTGTTGTCAGTTGCCGCCTCCCTACGAATCATCAAGGCTCAGGTGTTGTCAGTGACCCCTACCACGACTCATCAAGGTCAGGGGTTGTATTTGACCCCTCCCTAGACATCATCAAGGCTCGGTGTTGTCGTGCCCGCCTACCTAGGGCCAATCAAGTAGTTTTTTGTCAGTTGACCCCTCCCTACAATCATCAAGGTCAGGTGTTGTCAGTTGACCCCTACCTAGCATCATAAAGGCTGGTGTGTCGTTAAACCCTACCTACGCTCTCAAGGTAGGTGTTGTCATGACCACCTACCTACGCATCATAAAAGGGTCAGTTTTGTCGGGTTGACCCCTCCCACGCACTAAAGGCTGGGTTTTTGTCAGTTGCCGCCTCCCTACGCATACAAGGGCCGGGTGTTGTCTTTTGGGCCCCGCCTCCTACGCATCATCAAGGCTCGGTTTTTGTGTGACCGCCTACCTACGCTAATCAAGGTCGGGTGTTGTCATTGACCCCCCTACCTACGACTCATAAGGTCAGGTGTTGTCAGCTGACCACTCCCACGACACATCAAGGCTCAGGTTTGCGTTGACCCCTCCCTACAAACATCAAAAGGTCGGTGTTGTCGTTGACCCCTACCTACGACTCATAAAAGGTCAGGTTTTTGTATTGCCCACCTCCCTACGACATCATAAAGGGCTAGTGTTGTCATTACCCTACCTACGCATCAAAAGGGCTCGGGTTTGTCATGCCACCTACCTACGATCATAAAGGGGTCAGGTTTGTCGTTGACCCTACCTACGCATCATAAGGCTCAGGTGTTGTCAGTTGACCCCTCCCTCGATCTAAAGGGCTCAGGTGTTGTCAGTTGACCCCTCCTACGCTCATCAAGGCTCGGGTGTTTCAGTGACCCCTCCCTTTCGAATAATCAAGGTCAGGTGTTGTATTTACCCCTACCTACGACACATAAAGGGCTCGGTGTTGTCAGTGCCACCTACCTACGACATCACAAGGCCAGGTGTTGTCAGTTGCCCCCTACTACGCATCATCAAGGGCTGGTGTTGTCAGTGACCCCTACCTACGACATCCAAGGCTCAGGTTTGTCAGTTGACCCCTACCTACGCACACAAGGCTCAGGTGTTTCAGTTGACCCCTACCTACGAATCAAAAGGGGCTAGGTGTGTCAGTTGCCCACCTACTCGACATCATAAAGGCCCCGGTTGGCAGTTGACCCCTACCTACGCATCATCAAGGCTCAGGTTTTGTCAGTTGACCCCTAAGACATCATCAAGGTCAGGTGTTGTCAGTTGACCCCTCCCTAGCATCACAAGGCTCAGGTGTTGTGTTGCCCCCTACCTACGACATCATCAAGGCTCAGGGTTTCAGTTGACCCCCCCCCTCGACATTCAAGGCTCAGGTTTTGCAGTTGACCCCCTACCTACGACATCATAAAGGCTCGGTGTTTCATTACCCCCCCTAAAATCAAAAGGCTGGGTGTTGTCAGTTGCCCTACCTCGCATCTCAAGGCTCAGGGGTTTCAGTTGACCCCTACCTAGACATCATAAAGGAGGTGTTGTCATTTGACCCCTACCTACGACATCTAAAGGGCTCAGGTGTTGTCAGTTGACCCCTCCCTACGACACATAAGGTCAGTGTTGTCATGCCCCCCTCCCTACGACATCTAAAGGGGCTCAGGTTTTGTCAGTTGACCCACCTACGACTCAAAAAAGGTCGGGTGTGTCTTGCCGCCTACCTACGACATATCAAGGCCCAGGTGTTGTCGTTGCCGCCACTACGACATATCAAGGCTCAGGTTTGTAGTTGACCGCCTACCTACGAATCATAAAGGCCTCAGGTTGTCAGTTGACCCCCTACCACGACACATAAAGGGCTCGGGGTTTTTGTAGGCCACCTACCTACGACTCATAAAGGGGCTCAGGTGTTGCAGTTGACCCTATAGAC